CAGAGGAATGTCTAGAGTTGAACGATTTTTTGTGGAATACAGCATGAGGAATATGGAGTTTTTCTCCGGTTGGGGGTGTACACCCAAGGCGTCCTCTCATGCGAAGGCTTATTCGTTGTGTGGGCCGCTTTCTCCTATCCCCAATGCTCGCGCAGGCAAATCTGGACGCAGCAACGGGGAGGAGGACGAGGAGGAGGGAGCCATCCCTGCCAAAGCACTCCTTACGTTTCGAAATGTTGTCGGGATGGTCGCCATAGCACGTGACAGTAAAGCCGTTTAAAGTCGATAATGTGGAGTACAGTGCGGCGGACCTTTACGACGCCCTGGCCAAGGTAGACGAAGCGGGAACGGGGATTCTGCGGGCGGGAGTGCTCCCACTGGTGGTTCATCGACGGGTGGTGCAGCCGGACCGGACGGGGGTGGTTCCGTCGGAGGGAGCGGCAGCAACGCGGAGCGCAAGGGCCCACACTGCATGATGCGGCTCGTTGGGATCCTGTGCGAAGACGCCATCCGCCCACTTCTCATAGAGAGCCGCTTGCAGGCGACCCGGCAGGACCTGCACACGTCATCAGTCGGGCCGCGGAACGATATGTGGACAGAGGTCACCACGCGCTTCCGAGACCCTGACCACCAGGTACACGGTCATGGGTAGGGGATTGATTAGGACGGATCGGCCGAGAACGTTGTACATAGACAGCAGTCGATATGTATGTTGACACGCATGCCTTTTTTTTGTGGTCATTTTAGCCATCGTACTCAACACCTCATGACGTCCACGGACGATCGCCATTGTTTTAGGTAAAAACCCATGAGGTATCCACCCCCAAGAGCGGGTCAACCTGCTGTTGACGTACACCGGTAACTTATGGTGTTGTTGCTGACGCCGACGCCGATCATACTGCTGTAGTTGCTTCGAAACCTTCACCTATTGGTGGAAGACGTAGAAAACGCGCAGAAGAATTCCACAGGAGTGCATAGCCAAACAATATTACACGACAGAAAAAAATAACACTGCAGAAGCAACGCTAAAATACAGGCCGGGATCAGGCCGACAGTACTAAGCTTCCCACGAGAGGGGCATTCCCCGTTCGGTATGTTGTTGTTCTTCGTATCAAAATCGCGGGCATACATGTAAACTGAGAGTTGAGCCGTTTGATAATCATAATCATAATCATACTGCGTCACGTACAGCGGTACAAAGGTATCAGGGCATTTTAGAGCCACGGAGGTGACTGCATTGATTCCACACTCTTGTATCGCTAAAGCTGTTGCCGGGCCACTGCTGTTGCGGGGCCGAACCAACGTGGCCAGCATACACAAAGGATGACAACAACATTTATTTGTCCAAGGACACCGAAAGCTGGCGAACCACCCGGGACCCGGGGGATATTTTTCGGTTCGAACCATGCTGACCACGATGACAACCCGAACTCGTACCCCCCGGCGACAACATTTTTGTTTCTCTCTTATCAACGAGGGCTGCGTATAGATAGTCCTCCCTACGCTAAAACGGCTGGAAACAGCAGACGTGAAAAAATACACGATATCCCGCGGTTGGTCGAAAGAGTGCCGTCAAGAATAACCGTAGTTGCAGTACTGACCACCGTTAGGTCTCACCTTGAATCTGTTGGCGTTTCGCATGCAGCCTTCCTCGGTCAGGGGGAAGTCAAATGCCCCAATCGCAGGCGTCTCGTTGATGGCATCGATCACTTGCCACAAGATGTCGAACGTGACCGCCCTCGACAAGCCACACATGAGGGCAACATCCCAGTAACTGCCGCCAGCCAGGATCCTCAACGCCGCGGCAACGCGGACTTCCACAGCTATGGCGCCGTTGGTTGGCGACCGCAGTGCTGCGGGGTTTCCGAGCGACGCGCAGATAATGTTTGCAGGATGAGCGTGTGTCGTTCAGGACAGAAGTACGAGTGTCAAGGGGGGCATGTTTGCAATCGCCAGCACTTTAGCAACCTACGACGGGGGACGCATGTTCTCCGCAAACTCATCAGATTGCCGGCCCAATCCACCTATGTACTACGGTACGGAGACGGCTCTGTGTTCATCACCTACATACGCATTTTGCAAATGATGAGCACGTGTCGATAGCTGTTGTGTCATTGCGGGATACGACAATCTGTATCGGCTCCCGACGAGGCTGTATTTGTTTAGTGGGGCCGGCGTGTACTGTACGCCCTGTGAATACTGCTGCACAGTAGTAGTGAGCGTCACGAATAGTACCTTCGCCTTTAACCCATACAATGACCGCTGCTGTACAAAGTATGTGTCTACTGATGTATGCATATCGTACAATACTGCTGCTGCGCTGTACGTACCCTGCTGCCGCATGTTCGACGAGCGAGTTGCTTTTTAAAAAAAGGCAGCAGGAACATACAGCAGTGTAGTCTATGTACAGCACATGTTTTAGACTTGTGCTCTTCCCCGTTGCTTTCTACATATACACCAGAAGAACCCTCATCACGCATACCTGCCGTGGGCGGCTGCATCTACACATCAACACTCACCGCCGAAGAAAGCGTTGACTTCCAGCGAAGGGCGGTAGCTCGACAAGCTTGTGGAAACTGCCTTTATCCATGCGGTACGACCGCCGCCACCCGTGCCGTTTATCGAGGTCCGCCTCGTGTTGAGCCCACGGAAGACGCTTGGGCTCGTAGATGGGCTCCCGTTCCTGAGGGCAGTGGGCACGATGAGCCTCTCCTGCTGCCACGACGCCCGCCGCCACTACTACGGCCCTCACAAGACCCAAGACTGTGAATCTCTTGTCATGGGCTACATCCTCCTNCAGAAAAAATACGCTTCGCTCTTTTTACGGAAACGTAGAGGAACGCCTCCATATATTTCAAGAAAATACGGTTTCGTAACCAAATACGTATTTTTTTGGCCTGATAAGACACACCCTGAAGTGCTGTCTGTACCGACTACAGTAGCATCACCCCCTCCCTGTCCCACTCTATACCAAAACGGAAGATTGCCGACTACAGCAT